TAACTAAATAAAGGAAATGGAGAAGGAAAAATAAGATATGAAAGAATTAACTTACGTCCGGATAAAATGGCTTTGTTCCTTCACTCGTACTTCTTGATTTAAAATACAGCTTACGAACGAAGGGACTCACTTGTTCCGGTTGGACTTCAGGAACGTCAATGAAAAAACCTATCATTGAAGAAATACATTAATTATATAATATATATATCAAGATATATATTGTAAATGCGAAAGTATGTTTGGATGTTTGTGGTAGTCTTTCACGGAAAAACAACCGAATGGAGATTTTAATGAAACTTTACAATAATATAGCTTATACATCATCATAACACATAGGATATAATTCATAAATATATTGCGTGAAGTTTCCAAAATATAACGATAATTGTCAAGAAAGTAGGAAAAAATTCTGCCATCTGCAAAAAAAAAAAAAAAAAAAAACCCGTGACAGCATATATCTATCTTTTTTATGTAAAGCAAAGCTTTTCCTTTTGTTTTGTCTACGTCATGCCTCAGTGCAAGCTCGCTTTTAATTTATTCCGTTGATCAGCACAATCTCTATTTTGTTTTTCGTAAGAAAACTAGATTTCGAAAGGAGAGATGGTAGCAAGATTTCAACATAAAATAAATACGACAAAAAGTAATATTAATGTATTACAATTCCAGATAAAAATTATTTACACTATTTTATCATTACACAAAATTTGTAACAATGTGCCACTTTTGCTGAGCAGAGATCAGTTTAGGAAGGTGCTTTCAAAAATCGACTGACAAGAGAGTTACGGGGAGTTATAAATAAATAAAAAAATCCCTTTTATCAGCTACTAGATCTACAGATTTAAAATTTAACAAATGTGTTTTTTGTTCAGCTGAGATATGCAAAAAGCTTTTTTTTTTGTTTCATTTGTAATTCCCGTAAAATTAACTCATTAAAAACTTCTTTATCCTTCAATCTGTATTGTTTAATATTTCAATTCACCCGTGCGAAGTACGGGTATACACGCTATATAATATAAATAAAATATTATCTATCTATACACGAGATTTTCCCTTTTACTGCTACTTCTTAAGCAAACGTTTTGTCACAATTATTTGCTGAATGAACATTTTTTTAATCAATTTTATTATTTTAAAACCTAAGAGAGGAATTATTGTTAAAATAATGAATATGTTAGTTTTGTATAATATACTTTTTTTCGTTTGATACGTGTTTAAATAATTTACTAAACACAGTGGAATGAAAAACTATGAAATTAAAATAAAATATTAAAATGTTTTTATCAGATAGTTTATTTTCTTTATGAATGTTTTTTTCAGTACATGTAATTATATATCTAGGCTTTCCCCCCATACTGTAATTCTATAACTTACATATATATGTAAATATATATATATGTTGATTCAAGCATTAAAAAAAGAGCAATTGTTTTCAATAGCTATCTGTAAATTTTTCTTTCATTTATTGTTTATAGAAAATGGATTTTAATAAATATATATACTTTTTTAAAAGGATTATTTCTATTATTTCTAATTACTAAATTGATTATTTGTTAATTAAAAAATGCATCGTCTATTATTTTTGAATCAAAATACAATTTAGAGACATTTTTAAGCTAACTATATGTAACGATTGAATAATTCATGAACATCTGAAATTTATTTTGTTATTTTTGTTTCTTAGAAACTAACTATTACTTAAAAAATGATGAAATTTTTTTGTATTACTCTTAGTATCAGAATCGGTTTTTTTTATTGCTTCACATTAATAATTTTTTTAATTAACGCAATATCATACATCGAAATTTGAAGCTATATCTTATATGTGAGGGGGGAGGGAAACAGGGAACAATAATTTTACACTAAAAAAAACCCGTGTTATGCCGGACTAGAGAGATGGAAAAGAAACTTCGAAAAAGTATGAAACAAATTTCGAAAAAGGGAAATTTAATGAAATAATTTTAGAAATTAATCACATTGCGCGCGTACAAACACACACACATAATTACTGGCGTCATGAGGGGAAAAGAAAGCCCGTGTAACGCTGGGCCGTGCAGCTTGTATAACTATATATTCAAAAGTACAAATACACGCGCACAGAGAGAGACAATTTTCTTAAGCCACTAAGAAACGTTTCTGTTTTTTTTTAAGCTATAACAGCTGTGGCTAAAATTTTAAAGAGGCTGTTGTATGTGGATACCGTACATTTAGTCATGCATAATCTACCGAATAAATGTTTTTTGAGTCCAAACAATTATAAATATCAAAATAAATTTACAAGATACAGCTCTTTATTTTAGACCATTTCTTTAACCAATATATAGTTTTCTGATAACTGTGAAATAATTTTCTTTATTTGTAGATTCCAAATCTGATGACAATTTGTTAGTGGCTAAGATAAAATGAATACCAATATATGTGACTCGAAAGATTATTTTAATTTCAACAATATTAAAATTCCGCCATAGGAAAGTAATATTCATTTATTATCTACAGAAACATTATTTACGTTATACAACCTTACAGTTTTCTAGATTCAAAAAAATTATGAAAAATCAAAAATTATTAAATACTGTATAGAAAGTACCCAATAAATTTTTAATAGTCATCAGTATAAAGAAATATAAAAATATACGTGCCTTATTTATAGATTATTTTAGGTTGCTGTATTTATAAATACATTATATAAATATTAATAATTTTATATTTTATCAACATTTAACTAATCTCCTACTCCAATCATAGATGGCAGCACGTATTAAAAATAACATTCCAATAATCAGTTTTTTTAATACGCTTTTATAAGTTTAACTTGTCTGTAACGGAATCTTTGAACTCGATTTTGGCCCACTTTAAAAGGTCAGATAAATTTGAAATTTTGCACACTTGTCACAGAGCAATGACAATACAATAATTTCCTAATTTTGTTCCATTGTCCTGATTAGGATACGATTTATAGATTAGACGACTAATTCCGTAACCACTTCCAGATTTGGCAATTTATTGCATAAACCATTTTCAGATCAACGTTTTCAGATTTCAGTCTCTCAAATTGACTTTATTAAAAAATATATTGTTCAAAATAATTTTAAAAACACACACAAAAATTAATTAACTACTTAGTGTGTGAAAAAATTATTTTAAACAATGTACAACGCGAATGAAAAAAATAAGGCAATAAAAGATTTGTGCAATGATATTTTGGAAGAAAAAAAATTAAAACGTAAAATGGAAGAATATTGTAGCATTACTTAAAAATAATTTTTAGAAATTATTGCAAAATGTTACAGTTTTTTAGTTTTGTTTCCAGGTTAATTGAAATTTGTCCAGTATTTAAACGGTACCTTCCCTAGTGCATTAGTGTATTTTATTATACTTCGGTTTATTCAAATAAAGATATAACAACTGCGATTATTTCTTAAAATTTTGGTGGCAAAAGTCTTCGGCTTCAATTGCTTTTTTTGCTTTCAATTATGTAAAGAGTAACAACTGGCTATATAAAGGATTTCGGACTTTTTTTTCAAATCCTACTATTATAGCTCACACTCTCTATATATTTATTTATTTATCTTGGTGGAATTTTCAATCGCGTTAATAAAATACATTTTAAAGCGCTCAATTGAGTTGAAATTTTTTATACATGATTTTATTTTCGATGACAATACAATAATTTAATTATCATTAAAAAATAAATTGGTTAAACTAATTCTATAAAGAATTACAAATACAGCCACGTTGGTATCATATTTGGCAACTTGTGCCAAAATATGAAAAGTTTTTTTTTTCCTCACGTTTTAAAGCATTCAGTTGAACTAAAACTTTATATACACGATTGTTTTGGATGAAAATACGATACGTTAATGATAATTAATAAAAATTAATTATCACTTAATGTTGTGATTCAGTCATATGTGTACACATATTTATATTAATTGTAAATATTTAATAAAAAGTAGCTAAAAGAAAATTTTTCTTTGTTGATCTAAGTAGAATTAACTTAAAAACATTTTTTTATATTACTTATTTATTTTACGCTTAATATGAGACAATACTTTTATTTTTTTAAATCAAAATTCTTTTTCATTCCATTTATGAAATCTAGCAAGATCTTATAACTAATAAATGGACCAAATCAATATTGCAATTAACTAAACAAAATACATCATTTAGCATTTTAAAAATGGGAAAAATTTACTTAGTAAAAAGCTCGCTAAGTATCCAACAGCTACGACGATGAGTGCTCCAATCAGCGAAAAATATAAGTACGATATTTTGTAAACTGGTAAAACGTATCTGAAAGAAAAAATTCATTATTTATGATTATTATGTGACATTTTCTAATATATACAAATACTATATATAAACTGTATTCACATAACTTTTTGTTACAATCAGTGCATTATTAAAATTTTGAGTGATGCATTTTACTATTTTTACTAACATTGTGTGCGCGGGCGCGTGTGTGTAATAAGAATTCATACATTCAATTTAATTTATTTCTTTTACTATGTAAAAAGCGAGACAGTGTGCTTTGAAGTGTGATATGTCACAAATTTCTTTCTTTAAAAACCATAAAACATATTTAAAAGTTATGATAGTTTTAACTCCCTTTTTTCAATTCCTACTATTAGTTAGCACTCTCCCAATATATATATATATATATATATATATATATATATATATATATATATATATATATATATATATATATATATATATAAATAACACAAACATATATATATATATATATGTTTGTGTGTGTGTGTGTATATATATATATATATATATATATATATATCTAGTTCAAATTTTCAATCGTTAATAAAATACTTTTTATTCATCCACTCAAGTTCAAATACATTTTTTCAAACTTGTAGTGGATGACACTTGATGTTAATACAGTTTTTTCAGATATAAATTCGTTAATTTGTTTAATGAATGAACAAATAGTAACAAAAAATAATAGTCCAACATGATATATAAAAAGAAAAATCGCTCGCTGTGTCCCTGGGGCGCAATGGATAGCGCGTTGGGCTTCTAATCATAAAGGGCGTAGGTTCAAATTCTACCTGGGATGGCCTAATTTCAGAGTATGTGATTGCATTTTACTATACTATTTTATTGGAATAATTAAATTTAATTAATGAATAAATAACAACAAACAAAATAATAGTCCAAAACCATATGTAGAAAAAAAATGGAAAATCGCTTTCTATTTTGTCACTTAATAATGTGATTCTGTCATATGTATATATACATATCTATATTATATATATATATATATATATATATATATATATATATATTTCTTTTGCTATAGATAACTAAACAACATTTCTCACTGGAAAGATACGAATTTTAGACACATAATGAGAGCCTTAAATTTGTGTATATTTATCTTGTTTTGTTACAGGTAGCAAGTGTTGAGGTGTGCCGATGTTATTACAGTGCTGGTAACTTATGTGAAGAGTACGTTGAAGTATTTAGGATGACAGGGTGTAGGTATCGAAGTTTGTCACGGGTTTTAAGCTCGAGATCTAGAGGGTATTCTCTACTGTGGACTGGCTCGTTAGAGAGTCTCAGGCTTTACCTTTTTGTGTCTTTTTAGAGGCGAATTATATCATACCTTCGAAGGAAATCATGTGACATAGAATGATTACTCTTGAGTGTAGCTGAGAGTACTGTACAACGATTGGTTCCTGGTCCCCCGTCGAGAATTTGATTTAAAATGCTGAGACTACAGAGAAAACTATGCCGGTTTCTCAGAAGCCTTGACCAAAGTAAGGTCAATGGTTGACTTGTCCCATAAATTATGTATAGGCATTGATTTTCCCACGAGGAATTAGTTGACCGTTGAGAAATTATTAGTTATTTAACAGGAAGTCAGTTCGACAGTGACCATCGTAATACATTTAGTTTAAATTTTATACATATGTAAGCATTTAATGTTTTTATTAAAATACACTGCGTGACACAGAAAAAGTAAAGCTAAGAAGGATTTAGCCAAAATCGCAGGATTGAAACCACAAGGTAGACACAACTGCTTATGTAAATAATCCAAAATGCTTAGTTACCTCTCACTCGATGAGTCCTATGTTAAGGAAGTAGCTACCAGATTTCTCAATAATCATCTCGTTCTTCTGGTAAGAGAAACCAAACAATAGAACTGCTTAGCGTCACAGAACAGATGTGATAATAGAAAGAATGCTACATCACCCTCAAAGGAGACTATTCCTAAAAACAGATGATTCACAGTGGTCTGATTACTTCATCCGTCTAATTACCGCGGAGAATCACCTACACGTTTCCTCGTTGCATAGAGTCAGTGGCGAAAAGTGTTTGAAGATTATGAGTGTGGTGCGAGAGTGGCAGTGCTTCGAGAGGGATGTCAGCTCGTATGAATAACGCAGGTGTCGATAGTCTAGCAGTTCGCTGTTGCTGGGCTGTTATGGAACGTACAGAATTTCCTAGAGAATTCCAAGTTGTCCAAGACCATTATCAACCAACTGATTGTCAGCAGCATTGACTGATGGTGTTCATTAAGCAAACATCCATTGATTCAATTGACTGACACTTTCTTTTAAAAAGATGTCGGGCTAGATCAACGCACAAGATGAAATGACAAAATATGTGCACCAGCAAGCCCACTTCTGTTTCATCAATGACTTGCCACGTATGAGATAGATGTTAGCTTGGTAACAGGGGGGATCAAATCAATATTTCAGAAGACCACACAACGCGAAAACGAGCCATTATAGTTAGGAACCATAGCGTACAATAGTAGTCATCGCTGATGTCGTATTGTAACACAATCTCACAGCCAAATGTGTGCATGACGAGCCGTGTAAAGCTACCATTCTTTAGGTCATATTCTTTCTTTTGACCAGCAGGATAACGCGCAACCATATACGGCATGCAGGGACCAATAAGCTTATGAGTTACCTAGGTTCATCGTGTTTCCTAACATTTTACTAATTGACACGTTTGAAAATGATTGGTCATCATTTTCGTAAGCTGCCGCCACCATTCTTAATGAAAAACGTACGGCAAATGGTTGATATCAAATGGTTTTCCATCTTTCACTTGTGTGGATGTTTCACTTGAACACCATTCACTGTGTTACATGGCGAGTTTCTGCTTATCTTTAGACCTCCAAAACTTATAAATCACTTGGGTTTGTTCTCCACTCTGTTATTGCTAAAATAAACATTACTTACTGATTGATTATCTTCCTCTAAATGCAAATTTTCCTCACTTTCTATGCACTGTTAAGCACCAGGAATAACGTCAGCATACTTGCAGAAGACACATTCACAGGTATTGAATAAAAATAGTTACAATTGTCGTAGGGATTTGGCATGACTTTTGTTTGATGCATATGTATATTATGCTGTATACAGAATAATATAGAATCATGTTCATATGTTGTGATTAGGGAGTGTGTAATACCGGTATACCGGGATACCAGATACCGGTATTTTGAGCCTTTTTTACAGTTTTGTAATATCGGTATTCACAAGCTTAAACACTGGTTTTCCGGTATTATTAAGAAATTTTTTTTAATTGTCTCCACTATATGTTCAGGGATCGCCAACCTGGCAAAGTAGTACACGTTTTTGTTTTTATTTTTCCCAAACGGGTGAAATTAATTAGACTGTGAATATAAAGTTGCATCGTACAATCAAGAGAAGTGATAAACTATGTGAAAGATCGAAGGATACGAATTAAAGCTGTTCTGTTACAGCTCAGAGCGATACCGCTCACGCGCAGAATTCGTAGTCTGATATTCGTATCTGTGAAAACAAGGTTGTAGTCGTGAAGAAAGTGCGTAATATTTTGATATTTTTTTAATTGGTGAGTTTGTTATTCTTATTGTATTTGCATATCATACTTGTGTTTACATATCATCATGATTTTGTAAATGAAAATTTAAAAAAAAAAGAAAAGAGACTAACTAATTCAAACTTTATCAAGTTTATAGTAAATTTTCTTAAAATTTTTTACTCACAAACTTTATTCGCATTCAGAAAAATTCGGTACAGTTATCGTAGATTATTATGACCCTAATGTCAATAGTGAAACGAAATTGTTACTTGAACAAAAATTAAAATTAGGTATAACTAAGAAAATTTCAGCAAACCAAAATACAATTCAGAAATCAGCTATATCCAAAACCAGCCGACGAGAAATCGACGTATTTCAAGATGAGGGATTTAGAGGTAAATACTTGGAAAGGCATATCGAGTTTTGATAACAATACCACCAACTAGCTAAGATGCAGAAAGAGCGTTTTTGACAGGTGCTAATTTTTGCACATAATTACGTTCCAGGCTTAATGACAGCACAATTAATACATTATGTTTTTTAAGATCACATTCGAAAATATGTAATAGTACTACGGACTGAATAATGATATTTACACATTTTTGTGATTTAAATAAATAAGATGCTCATTTACTTTTTTGTGATTCTTTGTATACTGCTATAATTTTAAAATTACAAATTAATTTTTTGTGATATTTTCAATCTCAAATAAAACTGGAAAATAAAACAAAGAAACATTTGTATTTTCTTTTTATTCCAAAAACTTCTACTACCTGTATTAAAACCAGTATTAACATCTAAAAGTTACCGAATACCGGTATTGAACTTTTGGTCCGATATTGCAATCCCTAGTTGTGATATATTTTGTTAGGCCATCCAAAATTGAACGGGAAGGCTATGGTCTTTTATTAAAATGTACGTTAGGAAACCTTAGACGAAATAACTTGCAGATGAGATCATAGAATTATTTTTTGGAAATGTCTTCTTTCAGAAAGAATAGTTCATGTAAATATTTTATTAACATTTTGACCTTTCCAATTGTTTTATGCATAACTTATCTAAAAAAATGTAAATGTGGTAAAAGTGTTTTTTTCTTTTCATAAATGAAGAAATCTTATTTAATTAAAACATAACTAACTTCAAATAAAAAAAACGCAGAAATGTTGGTTGAATTTAGAATACTGCTGCAAAGAAGTGTATTGAAAAAAGAAGAAATGAAAATGAAAGTTCCTAGGTGTTAATACAAAACTCACTACTTCCTTCTATTGAAATTTCATTATTTTGATCTTATTGCAAAGAGAGATGCCAAATTACTTATAAAAATAAAATAACTGTATGACACACAGCAACATTTGAAATTGAAAATTTAAATAAATAAATATATTTAAATGAAACTACATTTGAAGCTCGATCTGCCAAACTATCCCCAAAATGTTTAAATATTGTTCTATTCTTTTTATTTTATGGCCAAAACAAAAAAATGTGTATTAAATTATTACACCTTTAGAGAATTATGTATTATTTCAATTTGTACTTTCGTCTTTTTTCACAAGCATTAGAAATATTTTAAAGACAAATTCATAGTAATACGAAAATGGGTTACTTTTCCTCTGCTGTGAGCCCCATAGCTTCTATACCACTTTCAATGAAAGAGATTTCTGTGGTGTTGAGAGGTAATTCGAAAGGTGAGGATGTGGAGTTCGTCAGGCATCCCTCTGTGACCTGTGGCAGCGCCTGGACCTTTGCTTTCGTGAGGTATGAGCCAAATCCCAGCCAAGCATTTATAACAAAACCAGCTGATAAACCAATCAGAGTACCCTGAGAATCAAGAGAGAAAATATCCCCTTATTTTACATACATTAAACAAAATAGTTTAACCCTTTATCTACCGCATTATGATTTACTGCAGTTTTTTTCATGCAATATTTTTTTTCTTTTGGATCACTACATTGAAAATTAAGGGATATACAGCAGCACACACAGAAAATTTTCAGGGGAGGGGGGGTCCGGGGTCGAAAGTTCCCCATTCTTGTATCATGCGCCTGTTGATTTTGTGGACTTTGGGGAACAAAACACAATAAAAAACTAATTTTTGAATAAATAATTAGCATTAATTAATAAAATTAATCATTAATAACAAGAAATTAATTAAATTTTACGTTCTATATACTTAGAATTATAACCAATTGGAAACAAAATCGAGGACTTTCGGGGGGGATCCGGACCCCAGGAACCCCCCTTGTGTGCGCCACT